TGAGTGAACGGTTTCACAAAAAAACTCGAATAAATTTGATATGTAATTTTCTTTCAGGTGAGTTTTATCTTATTATTCAATAATTTCTTTAACTCAACATTTTAAATTTAGGCGAAAATGGCTGTGAAGGCGAAAGCGAAAAAGAACACTTAAAAAGTCGAGTCAAAGACCATTCATTTATTGAACATTTGTATTACCAAGTATTTCATGGTTATGTCATATGTGAAATTGAAACTAAAATTTTGGGGTGGGGTGTTTGGATATGAAATGAAATTCTGATTGGCCAATTTGAATTTTACGTACGTGAATTGCAAATTCACATAGAACGCACAACAGTTATAAAAAAAGAAAAATTGAACTTCATTATTAAAAATAAAATAAAACCGCTCCATTAAAGCAGAGTTGGCACTCTCATTAGACAAATTGGCCATTGGACATATCAATGGTTATGCCATAAATTTGTTAAAAAAATGAAAAATATTATATAGCATTTTTATTGTCTAGAGTTTTGCATAATGTGGTGTCAGAAACTCTTTTACAAATAACTACTTAAATTCCATTTTGCACTGTTGTCATCTGCATGATGAACATTATTAGCAAAGGATTGATCAACATCAACATCTAAAAATCTCTCTTCATTTAAGATTGTTTGGTTTAGAATATCTATATAAAATTTTTACCAAAATTAATATATTATGGTAATAAAAATAATGAAAATAAGAATAGATTAATTAATAATAAAAATAATAAAAAAAATAGAAATAAAATTTAATTTGACCAAAATTAAAGGATTCAGCCAAATTATCTTCGTCATCGTCTAATTCTGGTAATAAGTGCTTAATTTATAACTTGTTTTTTTTTACATTGATATATTGATATATTGCCTTAATTCTTCCTTGTATTTTAAAACTTGATCAATTTAGTTTTGATAGGTTAATATTTGAAGCAAAAGTTTAAAGGTTTTCATGATCTATTTAGACATGTTAACATAAGTGATAAGTTTATTATTATTATAAAATGCCAAATTTTTATTTCTAATACATTCCTAAAGTCTAATGTTTTGTTTATTTCATATTAATCACCATCATTACCACCATTTTAATCATTTGATATTTCATCAAGTAATTATTATCAGCATAGATAAAAATCCTATCATTGGCTGTTATTGTATCACAAAAATTAAGTGAGATCAACCAATGAAAAATTGCATGTATTATTAATTTTTATTATATTATTTTTCTATAGGACTTATTAGATCAGTAAGAGAACAATATGATTCAAATTCTATAGCTTATTTTCACTAAAATCTAAATATATTGATATACTTAACAATCATGCAATATAGAATTAATATATAGATATAATAATATTAGAATATTTACCCATAAGCATTTTATTTAATTTTTGATTTAGCTCTTCATAAGCAGGGACTGCATCAACATTATTTGATTCTTCTTCTAATAAATCATCATTAGGTAGTTCAAGTTCATCTTGAGTGTCATTGTCCATTTCTAATCGTTTATTATATGATTTAGACAATTCATCAATTGAATCTGAAAGGTAATTATGACAATAAACACAAATGCAATTTAATTTATTCCAGCAGTCATCATGATAAGCATGACCACATAATTTAACGCTTCCACTAATTAGAAAAGGATTTTCACATTCACTTGCATCACAGAAATGATTAGGTTCTGGAGATTGATTTGAATGATGTCCCAATGGAAGTGCTCCTCCAGGAAATCCTTTAGAAATTCCTGAAAAATACCAGTAAGGCTTTTTGATTTTTTTTCCTTCCCTTTTCACTTCAAATTTGCCTGAATTTTTTGAAAAATTGTCAAAAAGTTTTAATAAAAAAATTGCACCACTTTTTACCATTGTATCAATATTCTGTTTAGAATATGGATATGTTTTTTTAACTCTAAAATTTTGTGTGAAGTCATTATCATGACGTTGATAATCAATAAAGATCCCATCACGCCTTAACCATTCTGGAACTAAGACTTTTGCACTGGTATGCCTTCTGACAAGACTGTGAAAGTTCTCCACAGGGTACTCATCAAAAGCATTGAGGTGAGCTTTAAGTATTTGAATGATGGGGTGGCCAATTTTAATCCAATATTGAATATCGGATAAAAATGCAAGCATTATCTTGTTATAATTCTTTCTTTGAAATCGACACATCATTGTCCACAGCTTGAATGTTGTCTCAACATATTTTTCAAAATGATTACCCCGAAAAAGCACTACATAAAGATCTAAAGTAGAAGGTATTAAGGAATCTAATAAATCAAAAAAAGTGCAGTATGCCAAATCCTTATTTTTATCAAAACGTTTAATAACATGCTTCCTGACTATTCTCCATGATGCATGAGCTACATATAGCAAAATATTAATTTTCCAAGGCTTGGGTTTAGCTGGCAAATTTTTTATTTTTTGAAATACAGCCTTATAAAATTCATTGAAGAAACTCCAAAATGTCAAAAAGCAACTTTCACGAGTATTAAGAGAAGCATGTAAAGCACCTAAAAAAGGCACAAGATGAGTGACAATGCTTGGTATTGGAGATAATTCATTGAGCTTGAGTTTTTGTATGATGGAGCGTCTAATATATAGCTGCCCTGGAAAATCTGCAGGAACTGGTATTATAGAATGCTCAAGATAATTTTGAATTTCAGTAAAGCTAAAAAAATAAAAAATAAAAAATAAAATATTAATTCTATGAAAATATTAATTCTTTTTTAAAACTAATAGTTCAACCTGAAAAAGATATCCAGACATTTTAAATAATCACTAGCATTCTTTAAATTTTGTGGTAAGAAATCAATTAGCTTTGTAAATTTAAAGGAACGTTTGGAATGTGTCTCTATTAAATCAGCATCATAAGAATGAACAATCAATGAATCAATTAAGTCATCTTCATTTAAGTCTATCATATCAGTTACAAAGATCCATTTCATTTTATTTTGATTATAGCTTTCACAAACAATATTATTGAAATTCATTCTTAGTAAATTTTTTAGTAAGCCTGCTTCAACACCATTTGGGTTATGTATATTAGATGAACTAATTGGAATTGTTGGAGCATCAATCTTATTAATGAGTAGTGTTGCCATATGTGAGATTTGAGAAATAGATGTGGTACTTGGAAGTCTTGATTGATGTAGATTATGGTAGTCATCAATGTTTAACACCAAAAGATTTTGACACTAATATATAAAAAAAGTTAATTGGAAATTATAAAAATATATATATTTAAGTATTATTAATCTTTATATACATTTACATTTAATTTAACATAAGCTTCTACTGATGGGTTATGATTCTTTATTATAATGTTCATTCTGTTAAAAACAGTTTGATAGGTGGAACTCAAACCTATCCCAGCAAGTGAATCAATTCCAATTGCAGATGTACCACACCCTGACATAAATAGTCCTATAGATGATTTAATATCACTAACTTGTTTATTCCGAATTGCAGCTAGTTGATAACATATGAACATAATTTTGGTTTTTATTTGTTTTTTTGTAGCTTCATTTTTTGAAGCAGGGTTGATTGATTGATATATAATTTCAAAAAATCCTTTTAATTCCATATCTTCTGATTCAATATAATTAACAAAATCTTCAGGATCAGTAATGGGCTTTTGGTGTTTTTTATGTTGCAAAGCATATAATACAGATGTAAGACGTTTAATTTTATCATTAAAGAGTTCTGCAAAATTTTCTTTTTCTAATAATAAAAAAAATAATTAGCAATAATAATAATTATAAATAATTTGTTAATAATATATTATTATATAACTTAATGCTTGTTCTAATTCAATTTCTAATTTATTTGTATGCTCTTGCAATTCATCTATTTTTTCAATTAAATTTTCATATTTTTCTTGGGTCAAACAAACACGTTTTGGATATGTTCCACCTTGATGATAACTTTTATCTTTATTACTTTTTTGCTTTTGTCCAATTTTGGGGTTATTATTACGATCATAATTAATTAATTCATTGTGATGCTTTTGACACAATTGGTCATCAACTTGAAAATTTATATTTTCAATATTAGGACTTTGACTTATTTTTAAAATATTTTGTGCATTAATCTTTCTATAAGTTTTATTAGGTTCTTGATTGCCACATACTATGCAAGGACCAAAATTTCTTTTTGTACTTTTGTTCATTTTTATTAATAATGAAATAAAAAGTGAGACTTATTTTGATTTTTTGACGCGCATTTGAGCATGTAGATCATCAACAAATTTGGATGTTATGACCGAAATAAATGAAATTTATGGTAAACTTTGGTACTAATAAAAGTTAAAATTCAAACTTGATCTGAGTAAGCTCAAACTTGATCTTAAAGTAAAAATAAAAATAGAATTATTTTGCAAAGTTTGAAATGGTGTTGGTTAGTGTGTGCAGCGCCACTTTTCTAAGTGGTACTTTTTCGATTTTACAATACTCTTTACATATAAATTGTAGATCTTTTTTTGAAAAGTCTATTAAATGTGTGTAACGCAGATCTATCCATAAAAGGATTTTTAACTATGCTTATATATATTATTATGGAAAATATTATATACAGAAAGGTTCTTTTTATGAAATATACAGAACCCTCCAAAAATAGCAATTCATTCTATAAAAAAGGAAACTAAATTGTAGCTCAAAATTTTTGTAAAACCAATGTGACATTTATCACAGACGTGATGATTAAATTTGTGGGCTGGGGGTGGCAGGAATTACACAGTGTTTACCAACTCTAAGAATTAATCCTTATTTGTCACATAGGTTCTGTATATTTCATAAAAAGAACCTTTCTGTATATAATATTACCCTTTCAAAAAATCTAGAGGGGGGAGAACAGCCCAATAATAACGTTAATTTGTTAACAACCCAGTTGTAACACTAATAACATCAATAACAAACTTTCCTATTAATATTTATAATTTTTTTGCTATATAGTTTTAATGCATTTATTATAAAGATTTTAAATTATTATGGTTCAAGCCGAAGTTTAACAAATTCTTCTGCAACAATTAAAGCTTTATCAACATCATCAATATTTGTTCCTGTACCTTGAGCCGTTTCATCTTTACCACCAGACTAGCAAGCAATAAAAACATATAAGTATATATATAATTGTACAAAATTATTAATGTAAAGTAAAAAAATTATCTTACTTTTCCTCCAACAGTTTCAGAAACAGCTTTGGCCCAATCATTAGCCTTCAACCCTTTTTCTATTAAAGGTTGACCAACAACACAACTATGATGTACTTTACCTGATTCTGAATCAATTGAAAATAAATATCCAGTTTTATCTTTTAGATTAGTTTTGATATGTGTGATTGCATTGGAGATTGCCTTGATTTATTATAATTTTGGAGAGGGCGAAATTAGTTATTTAGTATATTTAGTAAAAATTTTTTTAATGTATAAATATTATAAAAATAAATTACTTTTGAGTTTGATCCAATATTTAACTGTTTAATTATATAAGGACTATTGGGGTTTTCTTTAAAGTAATCATTAATTTTATTAATCACCTAAATAATTATCATAATAATAATTAATTATCATAATAATATCACACTAGTTAATGGTAATTAATTAAATACCTCTTTGGATTGAGCAGCCTTTTCTGCTCTATCAGCTTCCACAAATGATTTTTTAAGTAATTGTAATGTTTCTCGAAGTTCTGATTTTTTGATTGCAGAAATATTTGACGCATCAAGATCTTTGGTTATCTTCTTCAGTTCATTGTCAAGCTCTGCACCTTGCAATTTAGAAATTTGTGTAAATCTATTTTGAAATTCTTCGGCGATTCTAGATGCCTACAGGATTAATTAATTTATTTGATTAGTACAAACAAGCCCATAAATACTTATCATACTATTATTATATTAATTGCAAAAACTTTAATGAAATTTATAATTACTTGTTGAGCTTCTTCACCTGTAACAGCAACAATTCTACGAGTTCCTTTAGCAATACCTGATTCTTCTAATATAATAAAACCTTTTATATCTCCTGTTTTTGCAACATGACTAAATTTTTTTTAAAAAAATCAATCAAAATATCTTTTTTGAAAAAAACAATATAGCTTATATATATACTAACGTTCCACCACAGAATTCTATTGAGGTATCATTCCATCTTGGGTTTGAGACATCTTTTATAATGTCATCAATGTCATAACCAATCGAAACAACCCTTACTGGATCTGGATAAACTTCTCCAAATACTGCACGAAGTCCATGAATTGCTTTGGCAACTTGTAATGAAACATCTTTAGAATATACTTTTTTATTGTTTTTAATAAATTGATTTGAAATTTCTTCAACTCGTTTTATTTCATCATTTGTTGCACCTTTCTATATGAATATATAAATATAAATATGAATATCCCAAAACAGCCATATATCAATGATAATAGGTACCTTTAGTGAAAAGTCAAATCTTAACTTGTCTGGTGCAACCAAAGAACCTTTCTGATCAATGACAGTACCAAAAACTTCACGTAAAGCAAAATTTAATATATGAGTGGCAGTATGATTGTTTCTAATCGGCCAACGACGTAGCTAAATTAACAAAGAAGAGATTAATTATTATTCACATTATTTGTATTATTATTATTTTTACCTCTTCATATGTAGCAACTACAGAATCATCAACAGATAAATTGCCATATTTCAAATATCCAACATGTAAAACATATCCACCATAAACTTGCACATTCTCTACCACAAATTCTGCCTGTCCATCAATGGTCAATGAACCTGTGTCATATGTTTGACCACCTTGTTCTGCATAGAAATTGGTTCTATCAAGTATAATTCCAAACCTTTTTCCTTGCTGAATTGAGTCTTTTGAAGTTTTAATGAAATCATGATTATGAAATATTGCTTTAATTGTTGCATTGATATTTCCGGTTTCTATTCAAATATAAACATCCAATTAACAAATGATGATATTAACAATATAACAATAGTTCACAGCAATAATATAAAATCTCACGCACGATATTTATAGCTATCATCAGTTATAGATACAATTTTTTCTTTTTCAATACGTGCAATATCATGAACATCCAATACAGTCACTTCTTCATTGCCACTAACACCAGCACGCGCATTACGACTTATTTCTTTGGCTTTCTCTTGTTCTTTAGAAAACTCCTCATTATTAATTTCAAGATTATTCTCTTCGGCCATCAATCTTGTCAAATCAACAGGAAATCCATAAGTGTCATACAATCTCCATACATCAACTCCTGAAAGGTATTTGGAATTGGTTTTTTTTGTTTTTTGAAGGTAGCTATCAAATAGTTTTTCACCACGATCCAAAGTTCTGGAAAATGATTCCTCTTCCTCATCTAGTATCTCTTTAACATCTGTAGCATGTCGACGAATTTCAGGGAATGCATCACTCTTTTTTATTCATAATTAATATAATAAATTTTTTAAAATAATAATTAGTTTTTTTTTTTTTTTAGCGTTATAATCACGATTTATTCACATACCATTTCTTTTACGACAGTGTCCACCAAACTTGAAAAAAACTTTCCAATTTGAACATTAAATTTTTTTCTAGCATACCGAGCACCACGTCTTAAAATCCTTCTTAACACATAACCACGGCCTTCATTACTTGGTACACCGCCATCAGATATAGCAAATGTTAAAGTCCTAATATGATCAGCAATTACACGATAGGCCATATCCAATCCATCAATGTCCTCAGCCCCAACTTTGCCGGTATAAGACCTGGCACCAGTTAATTCCTGAATTTTGCCAAAAATTGGCATAAATATATCGGTGTCATAGTTTGACCGTTTGTTTTGTAATGCTGAGACTATTCTTTCCAATCCCATTCCTGTGTCAACATGTTTATTTGGTAATAGACGAAGTGTTCCATCAGATTCACGATTGAATTGGATGAATACAATGTTCCAGATTTCAAGAACATCTGGGTCATCTTGGTTGACTAGATGTGATGCATCTCGATTACCAATTCGATCAAAATGAATTTCTGAACATGGTCCACATGGGCCAGTTTCTCCCATTTCTTCAATGTTATATTAATAGTATAATAGTAAAAGAGTGAAATAGTGGCAATAGTAATAGTGATAATGAAATGATGATAATTATTAATAATAAATAATTAATACCCAATAATAATAATTAATGATGATGATAAATAATAAATAATGAGGATAATTTACCCCAGAAATTATCTTTCACTCCAGAAGGAATTAATCTATCTTCTTCAACACCTATATCCTTCCAAAACTGTTTTGCTTCTAAATCAGGTGCCAATTGCGATTTTTCGTCACCTTGGAAATAAGTTACATAGAGACGATCTTTAGGAATTCCATAAACTTTTGTCAAAAGCTCCCATGCCATACCAATAGCTTCTTTCTAACCATTGTAATTTATTTATTTGAGAGTGAGTGATATACACTATTAAAACTTTTTATTTTATAAATTTGTTCAATTATAATGATTGATTACCTTAAAATAATCACCAAATGACCAATTTCCCAACATTTCAAAAAAAGTATGATGATACACATCTTTACCAACATCATCCAAATCATTATGTTTACCACCTTTTAAAAGAATCAATAAATTGATTGATTGATTAATTAATTGAATTAGATTTTAATATAGAATTCTCTTCATCACATCACCATTACTGATCATCAATAATCAATCATCAATAAATCAACCCATCAATCAATCCATCAATCAATCCATCCATTAATTATAATTTATTACCTGCGCGTATACATTTTTGACTGTTGGCAGCTCTTTTAAGTTTACCAAAATCTGAGTTAGGATCAACAGTGCCTAAAAATATTGACTTGAATTGGTTCATTCCAGCATTTGAAAATAGTAATGTAGGGTCCTCAAAGGGTATGGTGGAGGAGGAAGGTATGTATTTGTGCTGTTTTGACTCGAAATATGAAATAAAAGTTGAACGAACTTTTGCTGCAGGCCAAGACTTTACATCACCATCATTACCAACATTGTTATTAATAGCTGCATTGGTCAAAAAAGTTTTTTGCTCCGACATTTTTTTCTTCAGAAAATTTTTATTGAATTTTTTTTTATAATAATTGATGTTTTTATAATAATTATGTGAACTTTTTACTATTATAGATGATAATTTGTTAAATAAAATTTTCATTATCAATTTTATCAATTTCTTTTATCCATATATATATATCTTGTTACGTAACGTGATCATGAAGCTAATAATCAGGTTTTTTACGTGTGTGATATAATTCTAATCATGAAAAATTTTTAATTTGCACCAAACCGCAAGTTTAATCAATCCATCCACATAATTAATGTTAAAAAACATTAATAAATGTGAATTTAAAAAGTTAGATCGTGTTGAATTTTATTATTATTATTATTGACTGACCGATTATCCGGATAATCGGTGAATCCACTTTTTATATACAGTCAACCTCCTCTAAGCGTACGTTCCTATTCATTCCCAAGCTCAGGATTAGAGATAAATGGATACCCTCTCCGCTCGCACAGTACGGTCTTTACTCATTCCCATCTATATAAAACTACCACACCCGTGACTTTTACGTGATCAGTACCCAATGAAATAGTGTGATCGACGTTTGATTTTTCCTTTGTCGAAAGAATTGATTTTTTGAAGAGATATAATATAAAGAATTAAATTTTTATATTTAGTAAATGATGATAAAGAGTATAAAGAATCAAATTTATTATTAGTAAGAGATGATAATTATTTTGTAACAGGAAAGTAAAAAATTGTTCACTTTATTAAGTGACAGGAGAATAAAGAATACTTTCTTTTTAATAGACAATTAGAACAAAAAAAACAAAAAAGCAGACAGAGAAGCTTTATGTAGTTGAAATTATTATAAATAAGACATGGATCAAGAATTTTATTTCATTAAAAAAATAAAAACTTCTATTATAAATTATAATCTTAATTCCTAACTCTTGATACACTTTCTGATCAAAAATGTAGGGACACTTGCAGATCATCAAAAATAATTGAATAGTGACATGTGACTGTTATGTTAAAAGGAAATTAATGTAATCATGGTTGTGGAATTTCGCTGTACAACTGTACTTTGTACAATTTGCTCATACATACATACGAGTACGAATCTCAACCCTGAATGTTCAAAAAATCTCCACGTTCATTAAAACACCAAGTCGAATTTTATATTTATATAATGTCACATGCTAACCTATTATCATCATTATCATCAGAAAGGAAGGAATTTGTATTAGGAATTTATAGTGAAATACTTGATAATGCATTTAATTCTGACAGAAAAAGTGCAAGACATTATTTTTTTTCATTAGTCAAAAAAGACAAGGAGCTTTCTAAAAATGAAAAAGAATATTGTAAGGAAAATTTTATCAATCAGTTTGGATTACATAATGTAAGAGATAAATGGGACCAACCAGATGAATGTAACAAATGCAACTTGACAAAATACTCTGATAGATTCTGTGAAAGTTGTATTAGTTTACATTTACAGAGTCTTTTCACTATTTGGACATCTGGAAACAACATAATTGATCATTTTATTCAACAATGTCAAATGAAATCATCACTGCCAGACTATATTTTAGAATGGATACCTTTTGAGCAATTTGATAATATAACAAAGTTAACTGAAGGTGAATTTAGTTCAATTTTTACTGCTACATGGACAAGAGGAACTATTGTTGATTATGATGAAAATAAAAAGAAATTTAGTTATTTTGGAAAGCAACCAGTAGTATTAAAAAGTTTAAATGATTTGAGTAATTCAGGAAAAGGCTTTCTTGATGAAGTTGGTAGTTGTCATTAAAACAAAATAAATAATACTGTATTACATAATACTAATTGATTTTATTTATTTTCAGGCATTGAATTATTGTAAAATTAAATCAACAATGATTAATCCTTGCTATGGTATAACTAAATTTCCTGATAATGGAAATTATGCAATTATTTTAAATTATATTTCAGGAGGAAATTTAAGGGATTATTTACAAAACAATCATTTAAATTTAAAATTAAAAGACAGAATTACAATCTTTTATTATTTATGTGATGCATTAGATGATATACATCAAAAAGATTTAATCCATTGTGATTTACATAGTGGTAATATACTTGTGGAAGGAGGTGGTTGTTATATTACAGATTTGAGATCATGTGGACCAGTTGATGAAAAGTCATCAAATAAAGTCTATGGAATTGTACCATATGTTGCACCCGAGCTACTTAGAGGCGAAAATAACACAAAAGAAACAGATATCTATAGTGTTGGAATGTTAATGTGGGAAATATTTGCAGGTCATCCACCATTTGATGATAGAGCTCATAATCATCATTTGATTTTTAATATATGTGAAAAAGGTTTACGACCACCAATATTACCAGGAATGCCTAAAGATTATGTGCAAATGATGCAGAGGTGCTGGGATGTGAATCCATCAAAAAGACCAACTTGTAGAGAGCTTTATGTTTTTGCTAGAAATAAACATAACAAAATTTATAAATATAATAGTAATAATACTACTAGTGGTAGTGGTAGTGATTCACAACGAGCATACAAATCACATCCAGATGCATATCATACAAGCAGAATATTAGATGAAGAGATTGCTAAATCTAAAAGTTATACAAGTAATAGTTTGTTAAATAATCTTGATTGTAATTATTAATCGAAAATTACTATCCATTACTAACAATATTAATTAATTAATTAATAAACATTAGATTCTAGTACCAATAGCAGAAGAAAGAATTGATGAATGACTAATTTAATCTCTATAAATTTTTTTATTTAGCTTTTTATTTATCCTTATTATTTTGAAATAATAAACTTTTCACAGTTTTGTTTGATTCTTGTTAGTATCATTATGGTTAATTACATATGTAAACTCGACAAGTCAGTCATGTTGGGGTGAGCTCATATGACCAACTTATCAAGTAAACCGACTTATCGAATTAAATTGCTTAAATATTAAGAAAAAGGGATGAAAGTTTTGGCTTATCGAGTTTACATATGTATGGCTTAACTTTTGGGCTGTTCTTGTCGGTTGGTTGCAGATAACTCACAATAATTTGGTGCTTGTTGATTAACTAGTGTACAAATTTACTTTGGTTCTCGATTACTGCCTCTTTCCTGCACCTAGATGAATCCTGAGCACATTTAATGGTATCAGATAACTGTAAATAAATAAAGATGCCCTTTTACAAAACTCAGAAGCTTCTATAAAGTTCCTTTTATTCACCTGTGATCAATTTATTGCCAACCGATTGCAAACTTGCTTTAGTTTATTTATAAAACAGCTTGAGTAGCTTGCTTAACAGCCTTACATTTACAATTACAATAATACCACCAGCATTTCTGGTTAACCTTTGGACAATACTTCATTAACACCCACTAGTTAATCCAAACCTTTGCTTGCTCACTAAAACAAGTAAACATGGCTTTTTACCAAAGCTCCATGATTGTTACCTTTTACCGTGGCACTAATTACATTTGTCGCTTTTATCAAAGCGCTTTAAACAAAGTAAATAAAGACAATAAAGAGATTGTTCCTGAATATTTTAATGCGGGTATTGGGTGATAATAAATCTCAACTTTAACATAGAATACAGAATAAGATCGATTGTTTTATCAAACGTGACAAATTTACGAGACATATATTTTTTTTGCATTGATATATTGCTTTATTTTTTTCTTTTGCTTTGGTAAAATTCGAACAAGTCGATCAAGTGGGTTTTGGTAGGTATTATTAGGAGTGAAAGTTTAAGTTTTCTGTGATCTATATACTGACACTGTATATGTCAGAATTGTGCTTTTATTTTTTAAGGAAAAAAAAAGTCCTAGACATTACTGTAATATCAAGAAATAACTGAATAACCAACCATATGCCTTATTATTAAATTGTTATTTATATACTGTATGTAAAATGTTCACTTACATTATAGTATATTTTAAAAAGGTTTTTTTATATATAGCATACGATATAAAGAAGGTAATTACTTCAACTCTCTTGCAAGTTATTTTCCAGGACTTAATGATGATGGATGGTCAAATTTTGAGTAGTTCTTAAAGTCACACTATTTTTTTTTGTATGTTGATATTTTGGTATTTCAATTCGTCAGTTTTTACACATTTTTGCCCCGGATTGACATATATGTGTGTGCATATTAATTATAGTGAAGTTTTTTTGCCAAAAATCAATTCTTCCTTATATCAAGCACTGACTGTAATATACAAGCAATGACCAGTATTCAAAACTCAAATTTATATTATCTTTAATGCTTAAACATCTATCTATCAATTTAATGTACTCAACATCAGAAAATGCATCCTTTGGGTTAAGAGAATTAAAAAACCTTGGCGAAATTGATGGCAAGAAATCAGCATTTTTGAACAAATCACGAAATCGCCATTTTTGAAATTTGAGGGCATGGCGCAGCAATAGGAGGTCTTTAGACCGAGCCAACCATATGTGATATGGCCCACAATATTGTATACTTGCAGGTTTTGGTCATATACAATTATTTTTGCTCGCCGTTTAATAGTTGTTGTATCATTTATAATTTCTTCAAACATTAGATATATCTTGGTGCGTACACATCTTGGGTTACAGCTTTTACCGAACTACTTATTTTTAAAAAATTATCTGATGTTTGTGTTTTATTAATAACAACTTTCACTTAAAACATTGAAAAATGGGCAACTTCATTTCACATACGGAAAGTATGGACCCAAATTTGCAAAGAACTTTAGATGGTTTGAGTTCTAGGCAATGATAGTACAGCATAAAATCGCATATTTAAAAGGAATCAACGCAACTAAAAATCAAAAACTTATACAATATCATTCATGGATCTATAATTACTGCCTTTATTTTATTTTTTCCATATTTTACAAATAATATTTTGCTAAACTATTTCAAGTACTGACAAAATCAATTGCCCAACAAGGTTATTGAAAACAATGAAAAAAGATTCCATAAAAAGTGTAATTGTACTTTATTACAGAATAATAAATAATAGTTAATTATTTTCTATCTTTCACCAGAAATTTATTCCTAAACCTAACTGAAACCTTTTTAATTTATCAGAGGTTGTTGCAATTAACGGCAAACAAAAATTTATTTCAAATCTTAAAATGCTATTTCTGTATGCAATACCTATGCCACCAGATATGCTAGGTGTTTTTGTCAGATTATTGAAATTGTTGAGAAAATTTCTACCTAAAAAAAAGTTTTTTATACATATAACATAAATAAATATCTTTTTATACTAATAAGATACAAGCATATACTTACGAGGATCAAATTCTATTAAACTTCCTCCATTTACGAATAAATGACCTTTAACAGGATACTTCCTTAACTTTGGTAATGGAGTGAATAAACTAACCCCGCCCGCTAAATAAATATCACCACCTAAAGAATCCTCTGGAATATTTTATAAAATAAAGTCAGTTTGTCAATCAATCGACCTATCAATCTAAATAATCAATATTAATCTAACTCTTTATAAATTAATTATTTCGTACTTTTATCTTCTCTTGGACCAAGACCATTTAAACTAAATCCTCTTACAGATTGAGCACCTCCAAGGAAAAATCTATCACTGATCTTTGATTTGTCTTTTAATGGGTATAAAATTCCATTTCTTAATGAAGCACTAAAAATCTGAGATTTTATCAAAAAAAAAATTTATTATTATATTTATTATATAACAAAGAAAATTGTCATATAAACCATACAAAGCCTTTCCCAAGTGGATAATTAATTTGATTTTCTATTTCATTTTTAATAAAGTTTACATCTCCCCCAAATCCAGCAACTTCCTATATTATATATGTGTGTGTGTGCGTGAGATTATCAAGCAACTTTGTATTTTATTTTATAAGTTAACGTAAAAATACCTGAAATAATTTTAAGTAATAGCCAGTAGATGGTAGCATTATATCATCACGACTATCATAAATAAAAGTATGACTTATGGACGATTTTAGTGAATGACCTGCAGATTCGCGTATACTATAAATATTAAAGCAATTAATTTGATTAGAGTAAATGTGCAAAAGATCTTAATAATAAATCAAATACCTTAGTGTTGCATCATTATTAATATTGCAAATTTGTCTCCAAATAAAACCATAATTTAACTCATGAAATCCTAATTTTGATATTCCCTAAATTTTAAAAGGACAGATATTATTATTGTTGTCAAAGCAATATACATAAGTTATTATATTTAAAAAAATTGAAGAATTATGATAAACCTACTCTCCATCTTAAGGCAGAACCTTTTAAGATTTCATCATGAGAACTGTATGATTGATTACTTTTTGTCATTCTAAACGCCGAAATGTCGATTTTGGAATCTGGATTTCCATTGATCGGTGTTGCTAAACAAAACTAAATAATATGTGAACAAAAATTATATGATACAAATATTACGTTTATTATATATATATATATATATAAGGTTCTCACTTGGAATATATGTGAAGTTTGAGTACTAGTTGCCATATATGCTTCCAATGTTTCGGCGCCACCAAAAAGATTACGTACAGTCAATGACAAATTCTACAAAATTTATAAAAGTAAAAGCTTCCTTAATCATATGCTAAAATTTTATGAATATCTCATCACTACAATAAGAAAATTTGATCATGTCATCGGAAAAAAAGAAAAAAAAGGTTTTACCGCACTTCCAGAATCATTTCCAATTTCTGTGCCAGTTTTTATAAAAAATCTCTTATTTTCCTTTACCGACAATAAAACATCAATTGCATCTTTCTGTGCTAATGGGTCGTTACTTGTATCAAGTAATACATCAAAATTATTGAAAATATCAAGACGGTATAACTTGTCAATGGATATATGAATTTCATCAATAATTGAACCAAGTGTCCTAGCTTTAAGTATAGGGTTGAAAATTTGTTCTAAGAAGTTTCTACGTGTTTTTTTTACCCCGTCAAGCTTAATTAAATTAATATATAATGGAAGATCCTTAGTGTCATTGACCTAAAGTTACAAAAAAAAAGTGATTCTGAATTAGTGTGCATACAAACATAAATATAATTAAACAAAATTAATTACATCACTACCAAATCTATTAATTTTCTTATTGCTTCTTCTTTTTTCAACTGCGATACTATATCTTCATTTATATCCATTTTTTGCAATGATGGTTTTTTTTAATTCTTGAATTATTGAAATTTAACTGATTATCATTAAAAATTTTTAAAAACCACTATCGATTTTTGAATTTGCCCTGCGAAAATTCCTAAATAACTGTTCAGGTGATCTTGAACTTTTTAAATTTAAAATTGTTCTGTAATTTTTAATTTATTAAAAAAAATTTTTTAATTTACGCGATCTTTGTCAATATGTCACAAGTTCAAAGAAACATACCTTCATTTTCAACGGTTACCTCCAGTTTTAAATCTTATATATTGTCTTTACCACTTTTAACAACCATAATTGCTTGTATTTCTATAATTTTTTATATAATTGATGCTACTGGCAGTAATATAATATATAATGCCTTAGCTTTGGAACCTGAAAGTTTCTTTGAAGGACAAAGTAGGTTTGATTTAAAGAATAACTCATAAAATAAATCCCAATAAATAAATATACAAAATTTGGCTAAAAACTACTTGATATATGTGCGTGGTTTTTTTATTAAATCAATAAAATAGTATGGCGTCTGTTCACTTATCCATTACCGCATTTTTCTCTTGGTCATATCCTCTTCAATTTGCTTGCCTTTTTACCATTGAGTACAACTATTGAGCATACAATTGGAACTTTAGAATATTTATATGTTCTAATAACCATATTTACAATAATGTCTGGTTCGTTCTATTTGATTGGCTCATTAATTTTTGATTATAAATCAATGATGGTAGGAGGTTTAAGCACTTGGGTATTTGGAGTTGTAGTATGGGAAAGTAGAGAATTAGCTGGAAAAGAGAGAGAGTAATTATTAATTTAAGCTTCAAGTTCGATATAATTATACCTTTGAATCATAAATAAACAAATAATAATTGTTGTTATTACAGTATTTTTGGACTTTTTAAAGTTCCAGCACACTTTTATCCAATAGTGTTACTATTAATAATGGTAATTTTGTTCTCTCGTATGTGGTTTGTTAGTTTTTTATGTGGATTATTTTCGGGATATTTTTGTAAGTAAAAAAACAAAAAAAGATTGATAATTATATCTTGTAATTTTTAATCATTGAAACATTTCACTAAAATCATTTGATCCAAATATTTTGAAAAGATTCATTTGGTTATATATCTTGTATTCTACCATCTTCTGGCTTTTTCTCTCAACTTGAAAATAAAACAGCCCTTTCTAGACTTGTAAATTTTCGTGGATTTATCAAAGCGGAAGAGGGTAGTAGAGGTGGATGGTGGTTACCACTTTGGAATGAGGATACATTAGAAGAACCTTTAGAATCATCCAATGATGTTATATATGAGGAACATTAAGAACATGAAGAACATGAAGAACATGAGGAACATCAAGAACACGAGGAACAAAATGACGATAATAATTTAGCCTCATTAAATGCCGAGTATGTTTTTCAAAAAAGTCCCTTAAAATCAACTTATATTTTACATGTTAATAATAGTACTAATTTTTTATTTTATATACATGTGATTAAAACAAATTACAAAATTCAGAGAAAATAATCATTCAGAATCTCATAACTTGACAACAAATTCAATTTTTGTTGTATCATCAAACTCTTCTACTCCAGAAGCAACATCACCACTAACAACTACCACAATGACTGATCCTATTTTAAACAGCTCGACAACCAATGTTACGTTAACATCTGAAAATAATACAAAAGACGTTCAACTAGTGGCAGCAGAATAATTAAAAGACAATTTTGTAAATAATTTAATGTCTTAATTAATAAGAATATTCATGAATACGATATCATATAAAGGTTTTAGTGCTATTTTTAAAGTTGTAAAAACAGTATTTGTATATTAAGTACATTTTAATAATAGTAATAACCATCACCATATCAATTCAATTACATATTTGATAAATCATCCGTATCCTTAAATTTAAACTTATTTTTTTTACAATGCTAATAAATTTAATGATAATGATAAAAAGTATAATGTAATGTGAATATAATTATTAAATTAAATTTAATATTATTAACAGTAACGATCCATAGTCAATGACAAATAATTTATGATAAATCAACCATAAAATATTACAATCAATTCAACAACCATTTAATAACTATAAATAAACAAATTCATCCATAGTAATGTTCCATTGTGTAAATGCTATCATACATTAAAAATTTTTTTGTGGTAATACTATATACACGCATATGTATATGTAATATAAGTATTAAATTTTTTGAAATATAATAATATCAAAAAAAAATTTCCAACCCATTATTATTAACTCACTAATATAATCAATTTATTATTCTTAATATTATTTCAAAGGACTTATATCTTTCGTTTTTTGACATTCTTCGATTTACCCTTATTATTACCATCGTTATCTGTAGATACTTTTGTCACATCATCATCATCATCATCATCATCATCATCATCCTCGTCCACCACCACCACCACCTCACTTTCTTCCTTTTCTTCAACACGAACTTTACGTTTTGATGATGGCAATGCAGCTGCAGCTGCACTAGTTGAAGGCATATCAACTGGATCAAGATCATCACTACAATTTGATAAATCATCACTGTTGTCTTCTTCATCCTCCTCATCAGGTTGGTAATCTTCCTCGTCAGTATCTCCTTCAGAAAAGATTACCTATTTTAAATATGTAAATACACACGTGCATATATATAATATGTATCATGATATTATTAATTAATAAAAAATGACAATATATTAATTGGTTACTAACATCTTTTAAAAAATAATTAACACCGCCTTCCATCTCATCATCAACAACATCAACATCATCATCGTCGTCGTCATCGGATTCATCCTCTGAAAAACTTCTTGTTGGTAAATCTTCTGGAAATGCGACTGATTTTCCTTTATCCTTTGGCTTACTTGCACTTTCAACATTTAAGTTGTCATTTACTGGCTCTTCTTCGTCACTAGCTCCCTACAAATATTGTATATAAATAAATAATTCATTCATTAGTATGATATACATTATATATATATATATATGGCTTGATACTAATATGATACAAATATTTAGTTCTCATAATGATTTTTTCTACCTGATTTTTATCTTGTTCAGATTCAGATCCTCCTTCGTCATCTACATTGGAACCACTTGATTCCAATTCACTTAATTCGTCTTCATCATCATCACCTTCCTCTCCATCAGCAGAATCTGTCATTATTATTATTATTATTATTATTATTATTATTATTATTATTATAACAAAAAAGAAAATGATAAATTATTCCCAATTAATTTATCTCAAGGTTTACAAATCCAAACATTTTTACCAGTTTAATCTAACCTGCATGACCATTTGATTGCGCAACATCATCTTCCTCATATTCCTCATCTACATCACTTTCATCTTCAGAATCAATCATTACTCCATCCCTTTGTTATTATTGTTGTATCATAATCATCATTATTATTTAACAAAGCTCCACAAAACAATAAATAGTGTTAATAATATTATTAATAACTTACTTAGTCTTTGCATCAAGTGTATAAAGTTGCGGTACGGTTTCAAATACTTTGACTCGATAATTTGTCCTTTTTGTTACTGGACAATCAATTAAACTCAAATGTTTAAGATTCGTTAAGTTTTTCTTGATTTAATAAATTGGTATATTAATATTAATCATTATTCTTAAACAAAATAAAAAATTCATATAGAAATAAAGAAAGAAAACGAAACAAATCATTTTACCAATGGCTCAAGTTCTGCATATTCATTTATTCTGTTATTACTCAAATCAAGATGATTTAAATTTTCAAGTTTTGCCTGTGATAAAGCTATTAAACCACTTGCAATTTTATTATCTGCCATTGTAAGCTATATAAGTACATGTGAGTATATATTTTTTAAAAGAATTATAATCTGTATATTTATATTTTATTATATAGATACTGTACCCTCCTAAGTTTTGATAATGTAGGAAAACCTTCTATAGAGTGTAGGAGAGTATTGTTCATTGAAAGAGATCTAAGGTTAATCAACTCGTTAAGTGGTGTAAAATCTTTACTACTATTATTACTATTATTAATAGTAGTAGTAATGTTAGCAAGGTTCATTATTTTCTTATTATCAAGAATGAGTTCCTCTACTTCATTAGGATCTTCATATTGTTGAAGTAATTTTTTTAACTCTTGGTCTATCATTTTTTTTTTTTTTTGTTATTTTAAAATAATTGTGATTATTGTTCTTTCACTTTTCCTTCACAAGACAAAAAAAAAAGAGTAACAACGCGTTTTTTGTTAATGTAGTTATTATAATATATTATAAAAGCAAAATAAGAATGGGAAAATGAGAAAATAAAATGGAGAATATCATAGTAACAAATCACGTGTGTATAAATCATGTGATCGCATCAATTTTATTTAATGTTAATATTAATGATTTTTATTTCCTCCAAGTATTTCCAAGCCAATCAAGTTCTGATCTTGGCTTATCCCAAGTCCAACACTCGTCACCTTTTTCAAAATCATAAGGAGTCAAAGGCACGTCATACGGGAGACGAATCGGAACAATTAAAGTTTGTATATGTGCTCGAAGCCTTTTTCTTTTTTTCGATGATGATGATTCAGATGGTAATGATTCGAATGGTTTTTTGACAAGTTCATTAATGTACAAAGGCAATTTCGGATTCAAGTCGTGTATAGTGGTGTTCAAGAAATACACCGAATCATAATCAACTGTCTATTTAAATATATATAAACGTATATAAAAATGTTGTTTTTACACCCAAAATAAAAATTAACATAATAATTAATACTTTACATTGAATAGTTCTGGAAAGATTAAAACCCCCATTTCATAATTACTAATGAAAAGTTGAGTTTTTTCCTTTTGTAGAACACCCCAGGCAGCTTTAGATAGGTTGCTGCTGGTAAGACAAAACCATGCAATATTTGCATTTGATGCTTCCCCCGTAAAAGATGGTCGCTCAATTCTCATTCTAGTATAGGTCTATTTTTATTTTTAAAAAAAAAATATGATAAATATTACATTTGAATTATAGACTGGATTAAAAATAACAACAATATTTATATGAGTAATTTTACTATGTGCCTTGATATGTGGCATTGCACGATCTCTTCCAGAATCCATGCCTTTCCATTTACAAAGAAGTGGATCCATATAGTCTTTTTGTTTGATATAATATTGACTATTAAATGGTATAGATCCGCCAGAATTCCAGCCATCAAGACTAATAGTAACAATAATGTATGTATGATGATAATTATGTAGTATCAAAAACATAATAATAATAATAATGTAAATATAATAAAATTTATATACC